CACACCGGGAACTTCAAGCGGCACATCCGTATCCACACCGGAGAGAAGCCCTTCTCGTGCAGGGAGTGCAACAAGGCCTTCTCTGACCCAGCCGCCTGCAAGGCCCATGAGAAGACACACAGGTATGGGTGGAGCCAGGGAAAGACACCTGGAAAATGTGAGGTTTGCTGGGAATGGTTGAATCCTTTGAAAATCCACTGGTGTGTTGGGGTATCTGAGAGATTTGTCTTTCTGCCTCTATCAAAGTCACAGAATAGTCCTGAGTTGGAAAGGATCCACAAGGATCAAGTCCAACTCCTGGCCCTGCACAGACACCATCAGAATCCCATCCTGTGTCTGAGAGCATTGTCCAAATTTGTGTTGTTTCATGGACTCCCATCCCTGGAGGTGTTCAGGGTTGGATGGGGCTTGAACAACCTGGTCTAGTGGCTGATGGGGTCTGGTGGAACAAGAGCTCAGAGGACCCTCCCAACCCAAGCATTCCATGATTCCTGGGTCTGGCTGGGTGTGACACTCAGACTGGGTGTGACATTCCCCCCTCCTCCCAGCCCACTGAAGCCGTACGGCTGCGAGGAGTGCGGGAAGAGCTACCGGCTCATCAGCCTGCTGAACCTGCACAAGAAGCGGCACACGGGCGAGGCCCGCTACCGCTGCGAGGACTGCGGCAAGCTCTTCACCACCTCGGGCAACCTGAAGCGGCACCAGCTGGTGCACAGCGGGGAGAAGCCCTACCAGTGCGACTACTGCGGGCGCTCCTTCTCCGACCCCACCTCCAAGATGCGCCACCTGGAGACGCACGACACCGACAAGGAGCACAAGTGTCCCCACTGCGACAAGAAGTTCAACCAGGTGTGCTGGGGAGCGGGGCCAGCGTGGTCCTGGAAGGGAGGTTTGTCCATGGGATGCAGTTTGGGGCTTCCAGAGTGTTCTGGGATTGTGGTGTATCCATGAGGTGTAGTTGGGGGTCCCAGGGTAGTCCTAAAAGGGTGGGTTATGCATGGGATGCAGTTTGAGGGTCCCAGAGCTGTTGTGGGATGGTGGTGTATCCATGAAGTGTAGCTGGGGGTCCCTGAGCAATCCTGGAAGGGAGATTTGTCCATGGGATGCAGTTTGGGGGTCCCAGAGTGGTCCTGGGATGGTGGTGTATCCATGAGGTGTAGCTGGAGGTCCCAGAGCAATCCTGAAAGGGTGGATTATCCATGGGATGCAGCTTGGGGTTCTTGGAGCTTGGAAGGAGTGGTTTATCCACGGGGTGAAGCTTGGAGATCCCAGGGGCCACTCCAAAAGGGATCCACAGGGATTTAGGTTGCTCTGAAGGGAGGCGAGGTGGTTTGGGGCTCTCTCCATCCCGTTCTCCATCCCCAGGTGGGGAATTTGAAGGCTCACCTGAAGATCCACATCGCAGATGGGCCCCTGAAGTGCCGGGAGTGCGGGAAGCAGTTCACCACGTCAGGTAACACGGGGGAGAGGGGCTGAGGGGCTGTGTGACAGGACATAGATGGTCTGGGGTGAGCAGGGAGTATTCTGGGGCTGGATCAGAGCCAGAGGAAGGCTTTCATCCCAGTTTTGCGGTGCCATGGTTGTGCTGCATGAATTCCTGGTTTTCCCCATGGAGCCACACCCTGGGAAGGAGATCCTCATCCAAATGTTGGAGATGGGGATGTCTCCTCCCATCTTCTCTCAGCCTGCTGCAGAGCTAGAGGGTTAGAATGATCCCTGTGGAATCTTCTGATCCCCTCAAACGTTGGGTGCTTGTCCTGGCTGTCTCCACTTCCACGTTACTGCCTGATCCCAGGCAGGATGCAGCCAACTTCCCTTGATCCCTGCGCAGTCCCTGCTCCCTGAACAGCACCAGGCTTTCCCCAGGGAGCTTCTGGGGCTCTGGGAAGGAGGAAAAGGGGGAGGAGATCCGGTGTCCTTCAGCCTGCCCTGCTCGCAGGTAACCTGAAGCGGCACCTGCGGATCCACAGCGGGGAGAAGCCGTACGTGTGCGTGCACTGCCAGCGCCAGTTCGCCGACCCCGGCGCGCTGCAGCGCCACGTCCGCATCCACACCGGTACGGAAACGCCCCTGCCCCCCGGGTCTCCCTGCCCCCGTGCTCCCCACCCACCTTCTGTGCTTCCCCAGGGGAGAAGCCGTGCCAGTGCTTGATCTGCGGGAAAGCCTTCACCCAGGCGAGCTCGCTCATCGCCCACGTGCGCCAGCACACCGGGGAGAAGCCCTACGTGTGCGAGCGCTGTGGGAAGAGGTGAGGATTCCCCTGGGAATGCCGGGAGGGGCACTTGGGTGGTGGTGGAGTATCAGGGCACCTCCACTCGCTGTTCCCGGCCAGCTGCCATTCTCTGGAGGGAGGGTGGAGGTGCCAGGGTGATACCATGGACTGTGCTCACCGTGGTGTCATTGCCCAAGGTTCGTCCAGTCGAGCCAGCTGGCCAACCACATCCGTCACCACGACAACATCCGGCCCCACAAGTGCACCGTCTGCAACAAAGCCTTCGTCAACGTGGGCGACCTGTCCAAGCACATCATCATCCACACAGGTGGGTGCCTCCCAGAGCCCTGCACCGCCCCGGGGCATCAGCCCCTCACCCAGCCCCATTCCCTGTCCTCTGCCAGGGGAGAAGCCGTTCCTGTGTGACAAGTGCGGGCGTGGCTTCAACCGTGTGGACAACCTGCGCTCCCACGTGAAGACCGTGCACCAGGGCAAGGCTGGCATCAAAATCCTGGAGCCCGAGGAGGGCGACGAGGTCAACATCGTCACGGTGGCGTCCGATGACATGGTGACATTGGCCACCGAGGCGCTGGCTGCCACCGCTGTCACGCAGCTCACGGGTGAGCTGGGGGCCCGTGGGGTTCCCACAGGGAGCTCATCCATGGGGGCGCAGCTTGGGAGCCATCCAGAAGGGATGGTTACTGGTGGGTGCAGCTGGGAGGTCCTGGAGTTGTCCTGCAATGGAACCGTACCCATAGGGAGCAGCTGGCTGGTCCCAGAATTGTCCCCAGAGGGAGATTTATTTATGGGGGTTCAGCTTAGGGGACTCAGGAGGCATCCCAGAAGGGAAATGCACCCATGGAAGTGCAGCTTGGGGGTCCTGGAGGTGTCCTGAAAAGGAGGTTTATCCATTGGGGTGTAGCTTGGAGGTCCCAGATGCCATTCCAAAAGGGAATTTTATCTCTGGAGAGCAGCTTGGGTGTTACATGAGACCCCCCCACAAAAGGAAAACTTATCTGTGGGGAGGGGAGCAGCTGGAGGGGCCTGGAACTGTCCCGAAGGTGAGGTGAATTCATGGGGGTGCAATTTAGAGATCCCAGGAGCCACCCTAAAAGGGAAACTTGTCCATGGGATGCAGCTTGAGCATCCCAGGACTGTCCTAAAAGGGAGCTGGATCTCCAGGGAGCAGCTTGGGGTTCCAGGAGACACCCCAAAAATTAGATTTTTCTGTGGGGGGCAGCCTAGGGGATCCCTGGAGCCCTTCCAGAGGAGAAGCTTATCCATGGGGAGCACCTTGGGTGCAGTGGGGCAGTCCTGAAAGGGGGGTTTATCCATGACATGCAGTTTGAGGGACCCAAGAGTCACCCCAAAAGGGAGATTCATTTGTTGAGGGGGGGCAGTTTGGGGCTTTTCCATGGGGTGCAGCTCAGAGGGCCTGGAGCCCCCAAAGGCGTTGGAGATTTATCGAAGGGCCTGGGCAGCCTCACATCCCATGGAGCTGCTGTCAGCCTCAGCACTGGGCAGGATCCATGGTCGGGGAGGGAATTCCTGCCCAGCCGGGCCCCCGTAATGTCCCTGTCCCCCTAATGTCCCTGTCCCCCCTGTTCCCACAGTGGTGCCCGTGGCGGCCGCGGTGACAGCGGACGAGACCGAAGCACTTAAAGCTGAGATCACCAAAGCGGTGAAGCAGGTGCAGGAGGCAGGTGAGGCCGGGAATACCGGGCTGGCTCCTCCCATCCCACCACCCAAATACCACCGGGAATAGCGGGCTGGCTCCTCCCATCCCACCACCCCCGTGCCTCCCCCATTCACTGTGTGTTTCTCTCCCCCGGCAGACCCCAACACGCAGATCCTTTACGCCTGTGATTCCTGCGGGGAGAAGTTCCTGGACGCCAGCAGCCTGGCCACGCACGTGCGCATCCACACGGCCCAGGCGCTCGTCATGTTCCAGGCGGAGCCCGACTTCTACCAGCCCTACGGCGCCGCGGGCTGGCCGGCAGAGCAGGTCATCCCCGCCGGGGAGCTCCTCTTCCGGCCCCGCGACGGCCCCGAGCCGGCCCCGGCCGCTGCCCCGGCCCCCCCGGCCGAGGGGCCGCCCCCGGCCCCCGAGTGACCCCGCCCCACCCAGCCTTTATTTAAGAGACAGCTCAGAAATGGTGTAAAAAGTGTATTTCTGGAAGGAAAGAGATGGAATAAAATGCAGTATTTTGTAAGGGTTGGTGTCGGGGAGGGGGCTGCGGCTGCCCCCACAAGGGGAGGTTTTGGGGTTCCTGCAGAGCTGGAGCCCAGTGCGGGGGAGTGAAACACTCCAGTCACTGCTGAGTGTGTGGTGTGCTAAAAGCAGGGAGAGAGGACATGAGAAAGGATAAAAACGGTGGTTTCAGGTTTGTAACCCCACCCAGAACAGCAGATGGGGATTTTTGGGGTAAAGCCCCAAAAGACCCTCACGTGCTGACCCCCACCCAGGGAGGGGTGTGGGGACAGGGGCACTGCCCCTGTTTGGGGACAGAAACAGGAGAAGAGGTGCTGCTGATGGAGGTGGGGGGTGGAGCCAGTCCTGCCCCACCCGGGGGCTGGGGCTCAGCTGGGCTCACCCCCAGGGGACCCCTTGGAGCTGGGAAGGGGGGCTGGGGGTCTCAGGGGCCGTGTGTCCATCCCTGTCTGTCCCTGTCCCGGGGGCAGCTCCAGCCTTGTGCCCCCCACTGCTGGGGCTGGGGGGCTGCAGGACCCCCAGCAGGAGGGAGGGTCAGGAGCCCCAAAATCTGCCCCTGTCCGTGTGTCCAGCTGGACACTCCCCCCTGCTCTGTCCCCTCAGAGCCCCCAGCTCCCCAGGGCAGGGAGGGAAGGGAGACACACACCTCCAGCCAGGACAGACAGACACGGAGATGGCTGCAGGGACAGATGGACAGGTGCAAAGCTCTGTGGATGGCTGGGCAGTGGCAGAGACACACGGACAGGTCACCTTCAGGCCGGACACAGTTTCACATCCAGTTGGACTCCTGGACACGTGCCTGTCCATCCATGTGCCCACCTGTGCCACCATCCATGTGTCCGTCTGTCCTCATCTCTGGGGGAGTTGGAGGATTCAGGATGGGCTGCGCTGTCCAGCCGGACACACGGACAGGGCGGTTGGTGTTGGGCAGTCACTGGAAATGACTGCACAGATAGACAGATGGACGGATGGACACAGGGATGGTTTGACAGGCAGACACAGACAGGGACACGTCCAGCTGGACACACGGACAGTTCTGTGGATGGACACATGGCCAGCTTCATTGACAGCCAGACAGAGGGACCATTGCAAGTCCAGTCAGACAGACAATTGTACATCTAGCTGGACACACAGACAGACAGACACCTTCTGCCTCCACATCTGTCCATGTGTACATACAATGTCCATCTGTCCAGCTGGACACTCCCCAGCTGTGTGTCCAGCTGGCTGTACAATGTCCACCTGTTCAACTGAACATACAATGTCCAACCGGACACGCAATGTCCACCTGTCCAGCTGTATGTACAGTGTCCATGTGTCCATCTGGATGTGTGTGTCCACCTATCCACTGGACACACAACGTCCATGTGTCCTGGATGGAGGAGAAGGGTGTCTGTCCAACCGGATGTACAATGTCCGTGTGTCCAGCTGGCTGTACACTGTCCAGCTGTCCAACTGGATGCACAATGTCCATCTGTCCATCTGTACGTACAATGTCCAACTGTCCAGCTGTACGTACAATGTCCAACTGTCCATCTGGACGTACAATGTCCAACTGTCCATCTGTCCGTACAATGTCCAACTGTCCATCTGGACGTACAATGTCCAACTGTCCATCTGGACGTACAATGTCCAACTGTCCATCTGTCCGTACAATGTCCAACTGTCCAGCTGTACGTACAATGTCCAACTGTCCATCTGGACGTACAGTGTCCATCTGTCCAGATGTATGTACAATGTCCATCTGTCCAGCTGGACACTCCCCTGTTCCTCTGTCCATCTGACAGATCCACCGTCCCCATTCCCAGCTGAACTGCTTCTGTCCGTCTGTCCAGCTCCATGTCCGTCCATCCCCACGGCCATGCCTGTGTCCAGCTGTCCATCCAGCTGTCCGTCCATGTTGGACACTGTGTGTGCAGCTGGACATACACATACAACTGGACAGTTGGACATTGTATGTCCGGTTGGACATTGAACAGCCAGCTGGACACACGCATTTTTGGGGCATTTATGCTCATGGATGAAGGGGGAAAGTGTCTGGCTGGGCGTGAGCATGTCCAAATGTCCAGAAGGAAATACGTTTGTCCATTTGGATGTCCATCCATCTATTCATCCATCTGTCCGTCCATCCCTGTACAATGTCTGTGTGTCCAGCTGGACACTCCCCCGTTGTGTCCATCCTACAGATCCATGGGATGGGCGGGTGAAGGGGATGGGTGGCCTGGATGGACAGGCAGGCCTGGGCCCAGCTGGATGGATGGACACTGCACGGACACCTGGACACACGGACAGTTCACACCTGGCCGGACACCCAGGCAGTGCCCTCCAGCCCCCCCAAGTCCTTGCACAACACCCAAAAATGCCCCTTTTTACCTCAAAGCCAGCAGGGTTGCACCCTTTCCCTCTGCCCAGCAATCTACGTGTCCATCTGTCCAAGCCCCATCCGTGTCCGGGGTCTGTCCATCAGTCCTGCCTCTCTCCCCCCTCCCTGGGGGCACGGAGGGACCCCTGACCCCCCCAGTGGGACTTGGGGGTTGCTGTGGGGTGTTCCTGGCCAGGCTCCCCACACCCAGCTCCTTCCTGGGGCACCAGCAGCCCCTTTTTGTCCTGGTTTTATCCCAAAACAGGCTCTGTTCTGCCCCCCACCCTCAGCCCAGGGTGCAGGGGGAGGGTCTCCCCAAATTCTGTCCAAAACCTCCTTTTCCACCACACCTGCCCGATTTTAACCCATTTACACCAGCCTTGATTGGGCTTCCCACTTGCACCTGGCAGGGATTTGGGTGGAAAAGCAGTGAAAACCATCAAGTCTGGCTCCTGCATTTCCAAGCATGATGAATCCAGGGATAATTTTCAGTGAGGAGTTGGTGTGTGGTGATTAAAAGTGGGGGCAAACCCTGCGAATTCAGTTTTCACAAGTATTTATGAGAGAGGAGGGAAAATCAGGAGGAATTGGGTTTAATGTGATGAAATGTCCTTTTATCCGGGCTGTTTTGGAGGGAGAGGTGGGTGCCCCTCCCCGGCAGCCCCAAAGCTCCCCTTCCCCTTCCCCTCCCCACGCCGAGGGACGAGGTCGGGGCGCCGACGTGTTTTGTATTTTTTAATAAAGTTCGTAATCCAATGGACACACAAAACAAAACTGCGCTGAGAAAAAAAAATAAACCAAAAATAAACCAAAAAAAAAACCAAGTTCCATAAATTAATTAAGTGTTAGGGGAGGCGAGGGGGGCCGGGGCAGAGTCTTTGTACAAGTGTATAACACTTCCACAGCTGATGAGACGAGGGGATGTTTAAATGAAGCGCACTTACAAATGAGTGACAATACAAAGTCTGAGTATGAAAATAAGATTTTTTTTCTCTGAAAACACATTTTTGGCACAGATTAAAAAAAAATGTATGTTGTGGGGATTTGATTTTTTTTTTAAAGTCAGTATTATATATATTTATATATATTATATATATATTTATATATACACACACCCACTGAGTTCTGCATATCCCACCAGGAAGGAAAAAAGCTCTCCCTTTTGTTTTGTTGTTTGTTTTGTATTCTCTTGTTTTTCAGTGTAAACTGTACATCCCAGATGAAGAGAAGACGGCTGCAGCAGGGGCAGGTGGAGGAAGAGGAAGGTTCACATCCGGAAAAAATAACCCCCCCCAAAAAAATAACCCCAAAAGAAGGAAAAAAAAACCAACAAAAAACCCAACGAAACAACCAATAAAATAAAAAATGACTGTGAAATGCTCCTTGACCCACAAATCTCAGCAGAGTCCCTGCGGAACGTCCACGGCGCGGTCAGTGTGTGTCAAGACATCCAGAACGTCACAGCGTCTCCAACTGTGCAAAGTCCGAGTCACTAATTTAGTGCAAAGGCAGTTCAGGTTCTTTTTTATTTTTTTCCTTTTTTTTTTGTTAAAAAAAATAAGCCATCCTTTTCTCTTTTTTTTTTCTTTTTTTTTTCTTTTTTGTGTGTTTTTTTCCCCAAAAAGGAGGCACAGGAACCCAAGCCCAGTCCACCTGCTGAGTGCATCAGTTGTCCATAGCTAAAGCAACATGTAAACATCCAAGGTTTGATCGAGGCCGGTCAGGCAGGAGGCTGGTTTCTGGCAGCATATTTCTTGTTTCATATCCTTCTCTCCTTCTTTTGAATTAGTTTTATTTTAAAATTAATTTTTTGTGTGGTTTTTTTGTGGGCTTTTTTTTTTGTTGTTGTTGTAGCTGTTTGTTTTTTTTGCTGCAGGGCCTTGGAAAAATTAAAAAAATTAAAATTAAAATAATAAAAAGTCAGTAACTGGTAAACAGCTCATACCGACGCGATGACAATCATCAGGTGAGGAGAGATGTTGGAGATGCTGGCGAGGAGGTCGGGGGCCAGGCGGGACAGGTGGCTTTCCGAGAACTCGCACGGTGGGAAGATCTGCAGAACGTAGGCAGGCTGCAGGGAGGGAAAAACCAGGGATCAGAGGCAACCCACGCCCACAGAGGTTTAAAAATGGCACATTTCAGTGATGTTCTGGGTGCTTAAAGGATCCTAAAGCTTGTGTAACAAAGAAGCCAAGGGTTTTGTTTCCCAGGTGGGGAGTTTTCCACACCACAGGCTGATTTTGCTGGGAAAGGCAGAAAAATTCCCATTAATTATCATTCAGTGGTTGCTCCGAGTGCTGGGCTCCTTCTGGGCTCCTTCCACCCAGAATTAAATTGCAGGTTAAATTGCAATCAGTGCAGCAACACACCTGGAATAAACCCTCCATGAGACCAAATGCATTCTACAAGAAAACACCAGCTGTCCTGGAAAAATCAGGATAGGGGAATAAACCAGGACTCTACTTCAGAGATAAAGAGCTGGGAAATGCATTTGGGAAATGCCTTTCAGCCAAAGATGATGAACTGGGAACACACCAAACGCACATTTGGGGGTTTTTTTGGCTTTGGGGTTGCTTTCTTCGATTCCATCAATGATTGATCCCATCAAAAATGTATGGATTCCATCCAGAATTTCTGGATCCCATCCCTGTCTTTGATGGGTGATGGAAATGTGGGGGTTGTTTGACCAATAACCCCAGGCAGATCCAGCAGAAGCCCGAGCTGCCTGGTCTGGTGGCCCTGTGGCACTGCAGGGGCTCTGTGCCCGTGCTGTTATGGACTGGTTTGGTGTCCCTGTGGCACTGCAGGGGGTCTGTGACTGTGCCCTTAGAGACTGGTCTCGTGTCCCTGTGGCACTGCAGGAATGTCATGCCCGTGCCCTTAGGGACTGGTTTGGTGTCCCTGTGGCACTGCAGGGGCTCTGTGACTGTGCCATTAAGCACTGGTTTGGTGTCCCTGTGGCACTGCAGGGATGTCATGCCTGTGCCCTTAGGGGCTGGTTTGGTGGCCCTGTGGCACTGCAGGGGTGTCATGCCCGTGCCCTTAGGGGCTGGTTGGGTGCCCCGTGGCACTGCAGGGGCTCCGTGCCCGTACCTGGTTGGAGCCGGGGTTGGGCACGTTGATGATGCCTGCAGCCTGCTTGGCCTGCAGGTAGCTGATGAAGGCGGCCTTGAGCGACTCCGTCTGGCTGACCACGTCCTCCTGGTCCCGGCCGCAGGGCAGGGCCAGCAGCAGGCAGTAATCGCTCTCCACCTGCGAGGGAAGGACAGGCTCAGGGAAATCTGGAGGAGGGGGTGCTCTCCATCCATCCATCCATCCATCCATTATCCGTGGGGCAAAACCCTCACTTTAAACTCCATGATGTTACAATTTGTACCCCAGAGAAGCTATGGCTGCCCCATCCCCAGAAATGTCCAAGGCCTGGAGTAACCGGGGGTAGTGGAAGGTGTCCCTGCCCATGGCAGGGGGTGGGATGGGCTTTAAGGCCCTTCCAACCCAAACCAGTCTGGGATTCTGTGATTCCAATACTTGCTGAGAGCTCAGCCATGGTGGAAAAGACTAAAAATGGATTTTTGTGGCCACCTGAACTCCCCATCCTACTCAGACACACTGAAGCCAGCACGAGTTTGTCCCCAGGCTCAGGGTGACTTAAAGGTTTCCCAGCTCTCATTGCATTTTTCTTAAGTGCAGTGTAAGAGCTATTGCTCATCATCCGAAATCCGTGTTACACTCCCTGGGTTGAAGGAATCAGTGTAAACACCAGGATCCCAAATTACAATCAAAGGGTTCTCCTGGACTGAAAGGAATCCACAGAGATCACCAAGTCCAGCTCCAGGCCACGCACAGGATCCCAACAACCCCTCCCTGTGCATCCCCGAGAGCGGTGTCCAAACACTCCTCGAGCTTTGGCAGCCTTGGGGCCGTGCCCATTCCCTGAGGAGCGCACACGACAGAAGCCTGGGTTTGGGGAGCCCTGGTGATTCCCAGCCCCCCAGCTGGTGAGCCCAGCCCGGCTCTGAGATCCCCACGCTCCCTGGCTGCCCCAGCCCGGGCCCTCACCATCATCCTGCGCGCGACGCCCTCGAGCTGGGAGGCCTCGAGGCGCATGCGCTGCGCGATGCGCAGGGGGGGCCCTCCCTCGGGCGCCGGCAGCGACCGGTGCGCCAGGACGTTGTTCCCCGACACAAAGTGCAGCTGCACGGCCGCCGTGTCGTTCTTGAGAGCCAGCAGACCCTGCCACACAATGGGGTATTTCTGGGAAGAGAGGGAGAGAGGGTTACATACAAAGCAAGGAGAGTGCGATCTGAAATGCTGAGCTGCTCTGCCGCCGAGACTTCCATCAGAGGTTTAAAGGCTCAGCAGAGATGTAGCACCAGATCAACCCTCTACAGGCCAGGCTTGGGTTACATCCTGCTAGATCAGGAATTCAGTCCTTTTCCTTCCAGCTGGCCGGCCAGCCTGCCTGGGTGGATCTGTCATCCCAATCCCTCTGACACCCACCCAGCACAAGGCTGTTCCTGAATGCTGTGTTCCCTTTTACAAATGGACAAACTGAGAAATAACAGAACAACTGCTCGAGGTTATATGGGAGACATTTGGTGCTGAACACAATTCTCAGTTCCTTTTGGTACCTGTTCCTCACTGCCTCCCTCCTCTTCCTCGTTTTCTACACTTGAGAGAGTGGTTTTTCCTTTTTCTTTAAATGAAATACACCAACTCTCTCCCCTGCCTATGAGGAAACACTTTCCAGGAAAATGCTGACTTGTAAAACTGATTTGGAAAAGTAAACATGGCTAAAATCCAACAGGGACAAAACAACCCAAAACCCAAACAATGCCTTTTCTGCATCTGAAGTTTTTGATGCAAGAAAGGTCAGATTTGGCGCTATGGCTGAGACAGAACCAGGTGATTTCCCCCCGGATCAGGAGCACGACACTCACTGTCAGCAGCTGGACCATGTCCACAGGTCTCTGGGACACAGGGTGAGGGGATGGCTCCTGCTTGAGCGTGGACTGGGGCTCCGGGCGGCTGAGGGGCGGCCCCGAGGTCGTGGGGATAAACATGGATTGCTTGGGAACTGCCTGCGGCTGGTGCGGCGACGGAAGCTCCTGCTTCATGGAGATGGCGACGGGCGAGGGGTAGGAGGTCTGGCTCGTGTCCCCTTGTGCCCTCTGCAGGTGGACGTGGGGGTCCATCTGTGCCGTGTGCCTGTTCACAGGGGCGTGGTGACTCTGCTCGGGCCCTGCTGCCGAGGGACCCTTGGGATCCTGCGGGATCTGAGGGGTCTTGCTGCGGACTGGCTGGCTGGGGTGCGAGTGCTCGCCCTCCGGCAGACCCTGGGAAGCAGGCGGGGGAAAAAGGAAAGATGTTTAGGCAGAAGGTGTATTCAACCCCATTATAAGGCTGCCAGGACACCATGAGATTCCTGATGGAGACATCTGTGTAACAGCAGCAGCCCTGCTGCGGCAGCACCCAGTACAGTCTCCCACTTCCAAGCCCACCTGAGCTGAAACCCCACTCCCTGAATCCTGCCCCAAGCTCATCCTTAGCCACACCATCCATCCAAGGATGCCTGACCCATGCACCACCTTGGTACTGACAATTCTCCCCATGACACCATATCCAGAAACCTGTGGGCACCTTCCCCCTTCCTGGGTGGAGCTCCAGAGGGGTTCAGGAAATGAATGGGTTCTTTTGGCTTCCTCTGATGCTAAGCAGCATTTGAACATCACTTCCCATAAAAAACAGCTCCAGATTCCAGGGAGACAGGTGAAGGGTTTTCTTTCTCACCTGGGACGGGGTCATGCTCCGGGAGGGCAGCCCGATGGGCGAGGCGCCCGGGAACTGCGGATGCCCAAGCTGTGCCGTGTGGTAATTCCTCATGTCGCCGTACACGGAGCGGTAATCGTGGAAGGAGCTCCCGGCAGGATGCATGATCTGCACCCCGTGTGGGACCACCACGGGCTGCGTCAGGGGCAGCCCGGGCAGCTGGCTGCCCGAGGGCACGCTGAGCAGCCGCGGCTCGCTGTGCGGAGAGTGGGCCATCTTGCCTTCCGAGGATTTGGGAGTCTCTTTCCCGGGCTGCGGGGTCTTACTGACCGGGGGGGTTTTGACGGCCCCTTCAGGCGTGCGGGATTGTCGCGTTTCCGAGTGGTGCTCGCCCACGGCGGCCATGTGCGGGTGCATGATCATCCTGACGTCCCGCGGGACGTTGTACTGCTCCAGCCGCAGGCTGCCGGGGTGCATGCGGTAGTCGGGCTGCATCACCAGCACGTCGGACTGCACCGGGGCTGGCCCGCGGCACACCGCCGTGTGGTGGAAGTGCAGCTCCTCCTCG